TCCACAAGACCTTCGTTAATTCCGACGCTCGCCAACCCCTTCCCTTCCCTTCCCTCACCGACCGCCGTAGATGTCCCGCCTCTCGAGTATCGACCGGCTCTTAAGCTGGCTTGTGAACTCCTCGACTTCCATCTTGACGATGTGCTCCCCGGGCACAACGACTAGACCTAGGTACCGCGACGTCATGTCCAGGGCTACTTTATCAGCGCCGGATGCGGAGCTCGCGGCGGCGGCGGCTGCTTTGGCTTCGGCTACTTTCTGCTGCGACGGTTCGCGGTACTCGTAGGTGAGCGATAGAACTATGTTGCTATGCTAGGGAGACCACTTGTGTTAGTTAATATGGTTATGCAGGTAGGAAAAGGACGAGGGCGTCGACAAACAGTGTCTGTGCATTTAAAAGTCCCTATGAAAATGCGCCCGTCCGTTGTGTAAATCCGCAGGTTCTTGCCGAGTAACGACTTGAGGAACGTTTCGGCCTCTGCCGGATCTGTATTATCCTCCATAACCCTATGTCGATGTCGGATGTACCTTCAAGACATATAGTCCCGAAGTGTTTTAAGGCGGAATTGGGTTGAGTACCTATTGTTTCGCTTTCTCATTAATCATTAACCATAGGCGACTGCTAAAGCGTATCTTTGTGCTAAAGGGAAGAGCTGCGACATCGAAGAGGGGCAAGATGGTACATACATGGGGTTTATCGATAAGGAGCTGTAGCTTTGATAAGCCCGTAAGCTTGACCCTTGTAATTTGCAACAGCCACCACTTTATAATGTGCAAGGGTCCCCTGTAAATCGAATCTAGACGCGCTCAGGGTCGCGGTGCGGCGTCGAGTCATCGTCATCATCAATTTCCCATCTCTTAAACTTCACTTCAGGCAACAACAAAGCTCTCATATCTTATCTACCTCTAATTTGAAACCAACTTACAGACGCTTGGATGGATACCACCAACCATGTGGATCCAACTCATTGTATATGAAGGTTACGCTTCAATCCTATAGCATCCAATAAATCATCTTCACACACCTCTTTTGTGAATCCTAAGCCATCATGGGTGTTAACGGGCTCTGGACCGTAGTGCAGCCCTGCGCTCGTCCGACGAACCTGGCCACACTAAATCGTAAGCGCCTGGCTGTCGATGCATCTATCTGGATATATCAATTCCTCAAGGCAGTCCGTGATAAAGAAGGAAACGCCCTGCGCAACTCGCACATCGTCGGCTTCTTCCGCCGCATATGTAAGCTGCTTTGGTTTGGCATCCAGCCTGTCTTCGTGTTCGATGGCGGCGCTCCCGCTCTAAAGCGACAGACTATCACAAATCGAAAGCGGAGACGGGAAGGCCGGAGAGAGGATGCCGTCCGTACGGCCGGTAAACTCCTGGCCGTGCAGATGCAGCGGATAGCGGAAGAGGAGGATGAGAAGCGGCGAAGAAGAGCCGAGCGTGAAGAAGGGGGTAGGCCAGACGTAGAAGAACCTGCTGAAGAGCTTCCCAGTGCAGATCAGCTGGTTTATGTGGATGAGCTAGGGATGAGCCAAAGCGAACGTCAGAAAAGCAGAAAGTTCTATAAGCAAGACGCCTATCATTTGCCAGACCTAGATAGAGGTATTGAAGGAATGGGCAGGCCAGAAGATCCACGCATTATGAGTATCGAGGAGTTGGAGGAGTACGCGAGGCAATTTAACAGCGGCGAGGACATTAATGTCTATGACTTCAGTAAGATCGATTTTGAAGGCGAGTTCTTCAAGAGTTTACCACCCGTTGATAGATATAATATTCTGAACGCAGCGAGAATCCGAAGCCGATTGAGGATGGGTCTAAGCAAAGAACAACTAGATGGCATGTTTCCCGACAGAATGGCCTTCTCCCGCTTTCAAATCGAGAGGGTGAGAGAGAGAAATCATTTAACGCAAAGACTTATGCAGGAAGCCGGAATGACCGGGACTGATCTTACACTGGCGAAAAATGCGCGTATAGCCGGTGAGAAAGATCGCGAATACATATTGGTCAAGAACGAAGGGGCCGAGGGTGGATGGGCCCTTGGTGTTGTTAGTAAAGAGAAAGATCGCGGCGAGATACATAAGCCTATTGATGTTGATGCCTTGAACTTTCAGTACCAGGCAAAGGAAGAGGATGATGAGGATTGGGAGGATGACGATTTTGAGGATGTGCCCATCGAAGGCATAAACCGGCTACCAAAAGTCCAACCTGGCTCTAAAGCTGGATTACAGGATGGCCAAGATATTTTCGGTGATGACGAAGATGAATCACTATTTGTTGGAGGTAATGTTGGGAATAGCGGCAATGACCTTTCTGAGTCCCAAAATTGGGAGAACGTCATTAGCCATGATGAAGAAGAAGATCTTAACCGAGCTATCGCCTTATCCTTAAGAAGCCAGCATAGAGTAAACTTGGCGGGATCGGAAGAAAGGGAAGAGGAGGAGGAAGAATTCGAAGATGTTCCTGCTCCTGAGTGGACTCAAAAGGCTACTGAAGGGCCAAAACCGATCACCTCTACGAGTGGGAACATGATCGCGCACATTGTGAACAACAGAGCGAATGCAGCAATATCCAGGCCCGCCCCTGCCCGCCGGGATAGTAATGGAAGTAGTGATAGCGAAGTAGACCTACGAGCTGCTCTATCAAAAAGGAAAAAGAAAGCACCGGCTTTTAAACCACAATCGACCCCAGTGGTTCCAAACGTAAAGAATCCGTTTGATGGGCCCTTACCGTTCGAAAGATTAGACTGGAAGTCTAGTATCTTTGCAAATAAAGAGAAGAAGGCGCCCGCCAAAGTTGTCGAAAAGGAAGTAGAAAAAATTGCAGAAGAACTAGAACCTGATGAGCTCGCTGGTGGCTTCATACGAGACGAAGAAAAAGAGACTGCTGATGATGATAAGGTACAAGAAAGCGAGGCGGCGCGTCCATTACCACCATGGATGATGCAAGATGAATCGGACATCCGTGAATCTCTGAAGGCACAACAAGCCATCGAGCGTGAGATAAATGAGCAGGACAGGCTGGCCGCGCTTGAAGAGAAAAGGCAGCGACGTAAAGATGCAGTTATTGAGATCGACTCCTCGGACGATGACAGTGACGTTCAAATTGTCGAGGCTCCTCCATCGGCACCTCAGAAGAGTCCCATGCCTGCAGTGGAAGATCGAAGCACACCACGGCTGTCTCCTGCTACTTTAACAAGAGCCAACCCTCCAGTTGCCGATGACGAAGATCAAATGGAGGACACGCGCCGCGCAGACATCGTACAGGAGAAAACTGCTTCCCAAGTCGAGGCGATTGATGCAGTGCCTAGTCCAGAATCAGCGTCTAAATCAGCATCACCAGAACCAGATTTTGAAGAAGTTGAGATTTTGCAACCCCCGGAAGAGCCTGCCAGTAATGATGTTGCTCCTCAGCCAGCATCTCCTGAGCCTACATTTGAGGACGTTGATGTGCCTGCACCAGAAGCTTTTAATTCCCCCATCAGATCGAATCCTGTGGCCGATGCAAATAACGATGAAATTTTTGGCGATGCTGAGTTCGACAACGAATTCAGCGACCCCGAGGAAGAAGAGCTACTTGCTCAGATGGCCGAAGAGGCGGAAGAGCATGCACGCTTCGCCAGCCAGTTGAATCATAAGTCTGAGAAAGAGAACCAAGAAGCTTATGAACAGGAACTTAAGGCGCTGCGGACACAGCAGAAGAAAGACCGAAGAGATGCGGACGAAGTTACCCAAGTCATGATTACAGAATGTCAAGCTTTGCTACGATATTTTGGCATTCCTTACATCACTGCGCCAATGGAAGCAGAAGCTCAATGTGCCGAACTAGTGAGACTTGGCCTAGTAGATGGTATAGTGACGGATGATTCAGATACCTTCTTGTTTGGCGGTACGCGAGTGTACAAGAACATGTTTAACGGCAATAAGTTCGTTGAATGCTACCTTGGATCCGACCTCGAAAAAGAACTATCGCTCTCTCGCGAACAGCTCATATCCTTGGCCCAATTGCTTGGCTCCGATTATACGGAAGGTCTCCCGGGAGTCGGACCCGTAACCGCCGTCGAGATCCTTTCCGAGTTTCCCGGTAGAGACGGACTCGTAAAATTTCGAGAATGGTGGCAGGACGTTCAGATAAACAATCGGCCGAAGGAAGCAGACCAGGGATCAACGTTCCGAAGGAAATTCCGCAAATCCCAGGCTACGAAGCTGTTTTTACCTCCGGGCTTCCCCAACTTAGCTGTATATGATGCTTACCTACACCCTGAGGTCGACAGCAACCCGGAACAGTTCCGATGGGGTGTACCCGACGTAGCGGGCTTACGGCAGTTCCTAATGAGCACGATCGGGTGGAGCGAGGACCGAACGGATGAAGTTCTCGTTCCAGTGATCAGAGACATGAACCGCCGCCAGGCCGAAGGCACGCAGAGCAACATCACGAGGTACTTCGAGGGGTCCGTTGGGACCGGGGCGAAAGAGGCCTTTGCGCCGAGGCAGAGGGTGCAGGGAAGCAAGCGCATGGCTGAAGCGGTTAATAAGCTGCGCGCAAACGCTGTAGTAGAGGGTATTTCTGCAGCCGCTGCGGAAGCAGAAGTAGAGGATGCAAGTCTCGCGCCAATCTCGCAACAAGCCGGACGGAGGAAGAGAAAGGCGGGGGGTGCTATTACGATTGATGACGATGACGACGACGATGATGATGAATACGCCGGTGGCGGCGAGGCGAATGGGAATAAGGGTAACGGCGTTAAGAAAAGTGCAGGCAAGCAAAAGGGTAGGGGCGCGAAGAGGGGGAAGAGAAGATTTATCTGAGGATGTGATTTTGTTAGAGCATAGTCTCATTGATAAGAGCCTCAGGAAGCAGAGCAAATTATTAACAATATTAGAGAATTATACCAAGCATGAGGTACCTAATAATGATAGCAATAGAGATAAGAAAGAAAAACTATATCAAAAAGATTTTGTATCGCAGCCAGCTATGAGTGACTGGACGGAATAAATATAAAAAGTTGATCAACGCAGGGATCGAACCTGCGACCTTCTGTGTCCTCACAATACACTATTACAGTGAAGTTGTAAGACAGACGTGATAACCACTACACCAGTTGACCAGTTGGTGTGATTTCTCACTTCCTCGGTTGATTTTCAGCGTCTTACGTTGCGTTATATCGTTTTGCTACTAGCGGGGGAACGTAGATTGGAATTAGCGCGCTAGGGGTTCCCACAATGCGGTAAGTACGGAATTACAGCTTGGAATTAAAGCGCTAGAGAAAGAGACTACGGAAACTTTGGGCTTGAATATTCGAAATTGACAGTTTAGACAATGATTGGTGTATTTAGGTACTTGTAAGTGATACATAGTACATTCAAAGCTTCTTGGCAACTTGGCTTTACGTTTTCATTTACTACCCCTCAATCCTTATGACAGTTTATATCGTACCTCGTCTCTAATTGCTTATCCTACTTTGACTGCCAAAATAGAGGCAATTGAGTCTTAGAAATATAACCATGTATTTTGAATGTATAAGAAGAGGTATGCTGTATGTAAAGAAAGCTCTCCGAGAGAGAGAAAGAGGGGAATGTTTATCTCAGCAAGCTCAGACCACATTTCGCGTTCGTTTTTTGTACCTCACTTGCCACAGGCGTTTTTAACCAATAAGATATCTCAAAAAAAAAAAAAAAAACTCGAACGCGAATGTGGACTGCGCATTTCGTGCCCCACAGGTACGAACACACGGACCAACGGTCCGGTGGCGCAGCCACCAGCGCAAGAGGCTGATGAGGTCTGAGGAACTGAGATAAGAAGGCACCCCACCAAAAAAGGTGGGGTACAGTTACACATATTTGTGTAACAAATGCGGGAGCTGTGGGTTCGAGGACCAGTCTTTTCGTTTTTCCAGATTTTTGAATTTCTGGCCCACTTATTTGATATTTTGACCAATCAGAAGCCAGTACGTATGGAATTTTCAATATTTTGCGGAACGTTCTTGAATATGGAATCATTTTGATTCGGAATCATTATACATATTGGAACACAGGTGATTTTTTCCAATGATTATTATAGGTCGAACTTTTTGGGGGGGGTTTTGGAATGATTCCATAAACCTACATTTTGTCGGTATGGTACCTACGCAAAGTTCAACCTTAAAAATTTAGCTTAAGCAACTGTTCCACTCTTATTGAATAATAAGAGAGAAGAAAAAAAAGGTAGAGAAAGGCAAGACACAAAAACATAATGCGAACCACAGCTGCCAGAGCACTGCTACGACAAAGTCGAGCTCGTCCCCAGCTTGGGAGAGTGTCAGTCTTCCCAATTGACTCAATTCGAAACGCATTCACTCAGTCGTACACGTTATTATATATATACTGACGCTTTCTTCCAAACCAGCCACGATGTAATCCGGCCAAACTTAGAAATTATCACAGCCACCACCACCTCCACCACTACAACCCCGCCATCCCTCCTTCGACCATGCATAACCCAAATCCCCACCGGTACGGGCGCCAGCAACCTTCGTGCCCTACACACGACCCAGTCCGCGTGGAAAGCTAAAGCGGGCAAGGATAAGGATCGCAAGAAGCATAAGGACCAAGCCCCCGCCAGCAACAGCAGCGGATCAGCAACAACAGACCACGGCGACGGCGACGATCCTAACGGGCCCAAGCACCCGCCCGCGAACCCCGAAGAGCCGCTCAACTTCGCGGACGTGGAGTCGCGCATCCGGCGGCACGCCGAGCACCACCGGGAACTGCTCAAGAAGCTCAAAGTAGGCGGGCGCTTCAACCCGGACGTCGTGGGCGCGCTGCGCGTGCAGCCCGACCGCAAAGACGCCGGGACGACGTATCCCTTGCGGGAAGTCGCGCAGGTGGTCGCGCGCGGAGGCCGCACGATCAGCCTGATCGCGCACGAGGCGGCGTACGTCAAGCCCATCATGAGCGCGGTCCAGGCCAGCCCCGACTTCAACCAGCAGCCGCAGCGCGACCCGGACAACGAGCTCGAGCTCGTCCTCAAGATCGAGCCGGAGACCCGTGACGACCTGCTCAAGCGCACAAAGGCCGTCTGCAACGACTGGCGCGATAGAGTCAGGAGCGTTCGCCAGAAGCGCGATAAGCAGCACGTCACATGGCAGAAGAACGGCGATATCGGTCCCGACCTCAAGAGGACCGCGGATAAGGAACTCCAGAAGATTATTAAGGCCAAGATGGCGGAGATTGATACGCTGGAGAAGGATACCATTAAGACTCTGCCTGTTTAAGAAGGGGGGCTGCAGTATGCTCGCTTGTGATGCATATGAGCATTACTGGTTTGGCTTGGAACGCATATGGGTATGACATGACATGACATGGTATGGACCAGCTCCATCAGGAGAAGTGTGCATAGTCCTATGGTCTAGATGTATAATAGACTACTACCTAGGTACATAAGTTAGGGTTACATGCGATGCGTGGTAACGAGTACATTTCTACGTTCAAAGCCGAAAATCTAAAGGCTTTTGAATCAAATGTATATCCTCCAATTCCCACTATTGAACAGCGTAGAGAATGTGGCCAGATAAATCAAGGCTTCGCTTCTGATGTTGCAGCAGCAGTAGCATTAGTATTAGGAGCCGTCGCGTCAACCGACTGTTCGAGCAGGCTCCGGACCTTATTCTCGATACGTCTCTCTGCGTCCGCGTTCCATGTGCCGTCCTTGCGGACGTAGCTGCGCAGAGTACCGATGGTGTCGGTGATATCCGCGTACTTGGGGCCGTCGCCGTACTTTCCGAGCAGCGCGTCCTCGAGCACGGCGGTCTTGACTTCGTCGGGGGCCTTGAAGCGCCTCTTCTTCATGACACGGAGCTTCCACACTTGGCCCTCGTACGACGGTGGCACGAAGGTGCCGTTCCCATCGCGCCACCTCTTGGTCATCTCGAACGGCGTCTCCAGGTTCTGCGGGTGATACGCCATGCCGCTGCCGAGGATGCGCGCCTGCCGGAGTACCGTCTCGCCTTGCCCGAAGGGTGACGAGGAGGTGGCCACCGCAGGGCCCCAACCCGCGAGGGTGTTCAGCGTGAGGGTCGGGGTGAAGTTCCTGGTCGTGCCCATTTGTTTCTCCTCGAAGTACGACTTGACCTTGAGGCTCTCCATTATATCGGCCTCATCCCCCTGCAGGTGCTGCAGTCTCTTGTTGCGTCGCCTGCCGCCCCCTTCCTCATCGCCGTCTTTCCCTCCTCTTCCTCTTCCTCTGCCTCTTGCTCCTCCTCTCGCTCCTCCTCGCGCTCGTCGCGGTCGGTCATCTGAGCCCTGGGGCCGGGGTCCGCGCAGTCCACCGCGAGACGGGAAACCGACGCCACCACCACCACGAGATGGGAAACCGGCACCGGCACCGGCACCACGCCCACGGCCGACGAAACCGCCTCTTATGATCCTTGGGCCGCTGTTTGCGCTGAACTGGGGTGGTGGGCCACTTGGCGAGGCAGTCCTCCTGATACCAGCTAGGCCGTGGGGTAGGTTCTTCAAGCTGATGACGCTGGGGCCTTGGGGCCGGCCAGCAGCGGACGGGGCATTCGCGGTATTCTGGTTCGACATCCCTGCCGCAGCGCTAATCCCGCTGTCCACCGTCCTAATCAGCTCGTTCACAGCAGCCATGGAGCGTTGGCGACCGGTAGGTCTCCGGGAGGAATCGTCATTGTTGTTATTATTATTATTATTATCTTCGGCGCTCCGGCGAGCGGACACGGAGAACTGCCTCAGGGAAGCGGCGATGCCGTCGGTGACTCGGTTTATGTCTGGCCTGGTGCGGCCGACGGCCGAGTGTAATGGATGCCGGATCATGGCGGGCCCAATTGCGGTGGTGATTGTTTGGGAAGCCCGGGTTCGTTTTCGAGGTTCCCAATCTTGGAAATTTTCGAGATTTAGAATTCTCCGAAGCTTTGGCGGGTTGTTGCGTTATTTGAATAAATAATGCGTTTAAGCGGGACTACAGTGGGATATGACAATAACCAATATCCACTCTCAACTTCTCCTTTTTTTTCTTTTAGCCCCAGCAGCTAGAAGCGAGCTTCGTGTCAGCTTCAAGTATTGATACCATGATACCAATTACTCTACTTCGTTGTTGTACGGTTCAATTTAGCTGTATTTGAGGTTGCTTAATAAGTTCTTTTCTAGTTTCCTTTTATACACCCTCAACGCTAGTATTATAGATTACATCGTAATAGACATTCAACTCTGTAGCGGCTTGTTCATGCCTCCCCACGTTATCGTCTTGATGTTTAAGTACTCATCGATACCATATTTAGACCCTTCCCGACCAAATCCGGATTGCTTTACGCCACCGAACGGCGAGGCAGTATCCGAGATCAAACCTGTGTTAATGCCCACCATTCCCACTTCCAGCGCTTCGGCCACTCTTGTAATTCGCTCTAGATCTCGCGAGAAGAAATAACCTGCCAGACCAACCTCAGCAGAATTTGCCAAATCTACCACTTCCTGTTCTGTAGCAAATGGGAATAACCCAGCTACGGGTCCGAAAGTCTCCTCACCCGCGATGGCCATTTCTTTGGTCATGCCCGTAATCACGGTAGGCTGATAGAAATTAGCACCTAAGTCCGGTAGCTTCTGACCACCAACAACTACCTTGCCTCCCTTCTTCTCGGCGTCCTTAATATGAGCCTCCACTTTCGAGACAGCGCGATCGTGGATCAGAGGTCCGTGGGTGATTCCTTCGTCAAACCCGTTACCGACCTTGAACCCCTTGACCTTCTCCGCGAACTTCTGTGCAAACTCGTCGTAAATACCCTTTTGGACGTATATCCTGTTGGCGCACACGCAGGTCTGGCCTGATGAGCGGAACTTCGAGGCGATGGCACCTGCGACAGCCGCATCGACATCGGCATCATCAAACACGATGAATGGTGCGTTGCCTCCCAGCTCCATGGACAGAATCTTCAAAGTTGGAGATGCCTGCTTCATGAGGAGTCTGCCCACAGCTGTCGATCCCGTAAACGATACCTTTCGTACGGTAGGATGAGTCGCCAGCGTCTCTCCGACCTCGGGCGTGTTCTTGAGCGTCGTCACGAAGTTTACGACACCTTTTGGAATTCCGGCTCTGTGTGCTAGCTCTGCTAGAGCA